CTCGCCGGCAGCCTGGACACACGCCAGGGTCGCTACGTTCTCCAAACCCGCGGTCACACGGGAACCTCCTGTAGCCCTGTGCCCCGGTGCCGGCCAACTCCCCTTGGCATCCAGAGCACCTCAGCATCCCTAACCCTGCCCCCAGCCCTGCCCCATCCCCCACTGGCATCACACACCTCAGCCCCCATGCCTGCGGCACCCCGGCCAGCACCCCTCCGTGGCGCTCTGTGTCTGTGCCCGGTCTCGGTAAGCCAGTCGGGCTCTATTCTGCCCTGGGTGTTTTCTGGCTGTCTGGGATCGCAGTACGCTCTCCACTCCACCCCAACCGTGTGCTCCAGTAACACTGACAGAGACGTTTCCCAAGCTCTGGGCGAATAGTCACCACTCGGCCGGGTCCCCCCGAAGGCGGGCGAGTGTCGGCAGTGCCGGGGGCAGGCTGTAACACCGATGGGTGGCGGGGGGGTCATGGGTGCTGAGGTGAGCAAAGGGGGACTGGGAACCAGAGAGCTACGGACCTGGCTGCCTAAAGTCGGGCCTTGTCAATCCACACTTAGGCTCCCAAAGGCAAGCCGGGTGCTGCCACTGGGTGCAGTGGGCGCTCAGCACCTCAGCGCCAGCCCACTCAGATTTGGGCACCCACAGGTGCACGTTTGGGCTTTTGTCTCTCAAAGGCTCAGTTTTCCTGTCTGTAAAATGGAAGCAAAGATTCTCCGCCCCTTTGCAATGGGGAGGGGGGGGCTAATTCAGGAAAGAGACCTTGGAGTCATTGTGGATAGTTCTCTGAAGACGTCCAACACAGTGTGCAGCGGCAGTCAAAAAAGCAAACAGGATAGGGTCTGTCTACACTAGCCCCCTCGTTCGAACTAGGGTGGCTAATGTAGTCATTCGAACTTGCAAATGAAGCCAAGGATTAAAATATCTCGGGCTTTATTTGCATATTCCTGGGCGCCGCGATTTTTAAATGCCTGGTAGTTTGGACTCCGTGCCCGCAGCTACACGCGACATGGGCTAGGTAGTTCGAACTAAAGCCCCTAATTCGGACTACCGTTACTCCTCATGGAGTCCGAATTAGGGGCTTTAGTTCAAACTGGCACTTTTCAGCTTGGAAAAGAGGAGACTAAGGGGGATATGATAGAGGACTATAAAATCATGAGTAGGGTGAAGAAAGTGAATAAGGAAAAGTTATTTACTTATTACTATAATATAGGAACTAAGAGTCACCAAATGAAATTAATAAGCAGCAGGTTTAAAACAAAGCAAAGAAAGTTTATCTTCACTCAGAGCACAGTCAACCTGCGGAACTCCTTGCCTGAGGAGGCTGAGAAGGCTAGGACTATAACCAGCTTTAAAAGAGAACTAGATAAATTCATGGAGATGAGGTCCATTAATGGCTATTAGCCAGTACGGGTAAGGAATGGCGTCCCCAGCCTCTGTTTGTCAGAGGGGGGAGATGGATGGCAGGGGAGAGAACGCTTGATC